TTTTTTTTTTTTTTTGGCAAACTAGCCTGAGAATAAAATCTGAAGTCCTTGCTATAACATTTTGGGAATGCCATGAATTTATATCTTCCGTGTATTGCTGCTTCCGCCACCACATCTGCCCCCACACCCCATAATCCAGTCAGTTTACAGTAATAGCAGTTCTCCAAGCCATGTCATATGCTATAAAAGACTTGAAATTGTGAAGGTTTTCAAACTGAGAAGTATTTCCAGTTAATTTGGACTTAATATTTAAATAGTTGATTAAATTCAGGTTGGACTGTGTTTGTTTGCTAAGAATATGTGGGAGGGTGTGCTGTCTACCCTGTTTCAGACCTGGAGACACCTGTATGTGGTCCCACCGTTTATTGATTCAGCAGCTGATAGGATACCTGTGCTGACAGCCTCCCTAGAGTCCCATTGTAACAAAACAGCAGTTTTCTATTGCTGTACTTTTCTCTTACTCCTTTAGCTTCATTTTTGTTTTTTAAAGATTGATTTATTTATGCACAACACTGGGGTTAAAGGCCAGAGATGCAGGGGGTGAGAGGATTCACCAAAGACAGAGTTGGAAGCAGAACAGGAAGATCTGCTGAAATCCACTGCTGAGGGGAGCAGCGGGCGGGTCAGGAGAGGTCTGCTGCGCCATGTGAGTCTCCTTCCTGTCCAGGGATCAAACTCGTGCTGCAGTGGCTGTGGATAGCTTCACAGTACATGGATGTAATCCCTTGTGCCACCAGGGAGGCTCCCCCACTTTTATGTTTCTTTACTGAAAATCTAGAAAAGAATTTTTTCCTACTGAGGTATAGCTATTTGACTACCCTTTCTTCTAGATTTGTACAGGGAATTAAAAATCAATGTTAATTTCTTTGGAGGGAATAAGTTTTGTTTGCCCTAATGCCATGCATTTTGTGAAATATAAATATTTTACTAGGCTTAGAAAGGAGTAAATTATGCCATCTGTCTTGTTCTGCCATATTTTCCTAGAACAGTTAACTTCAAAATGAACTTAATTTTGACCCAATTTGAATGACAGTAAGAATGTTTATACGTATTCTACTCTATTTTTTTGGTGAAATGCCATAATTTAAAAGTATGACTTGCTCAAGTAATTCTTTGTGTTACTCTAATTTTAGCTTGATTAGTTTTGGTTACATCTGAAATGCCTCCTAGTTCTTTATATCTATTTAATATTTAAAAGATCCAAATCTAGACTGTCCTTCCTCCTTCTGGTTATCTAAGAGGAATGGATCCCGCTCAGCTTACATATTCTAGATACATAATGTACTCAGATCAATACACCTTTCCTCTCCCCCATCCTTCAATGTTGTAAAACAAATATATCAAAGCACCAATCACTGACTCTTTTAGTGTTCAATTTCTATTTCTAACCAATTCACATTTGTTCTCATTTTCTTTCTCTTAATCTGGCTCTTTTCAGAGTTTTCCATTTCACTTGTTCTGTCCTGCCAAAATGCTTTCCCCCTTCACAGTGTGGTTTTGCTCAGATTTCAGCTTCTTAGTGTGCTTTTACCTTCTTTTTCATCAGTGGAATTCTTCCATATACTTCATTCCCACCCTTCATTTCTGAGTTTCTCACTGTGGGACTCAGAAGTTGAGAACTGAAGAAGACAGTCCTCAATAGTTTTAGAGATACGAAAACTGAGACTGTGACTTGCTCAGACACTTAAATCTTTAGCTGCATTCCTGAAATTAGAGTCTTAAGGGTTCATACATTTAAATTGTATTTTTAAATTTTGTTTGCTATTAATTTTCCAACCCAAACTTTATCCTTTGTTACTTTTTCAGTGATAAGAAAGATAATACTTTATGTAAGAATTAATCATTCTGGTAGTCATTCATTAACAAATTTTATTTGCAATTGCTTTTATTGGCCACAATCTATAATTTCCATTATAAAGATTTAAAAAAATATTTATTTATTTATGCATGCAGAGCTGGGGTATAGGCCAGAGGTGCAGAGATAGAGTGGGGAGCAGAAAAGGCCATCTGACAAAGTACACTGCTGAAGGGAGCAGCAGCGGGTCAGGAGGTATCTACTGCACCATGTGGGTCACTGCAGGGGTGGGGATCGAACTCATGCTGAAGCAGCTTTAGCTTCTCGGTGCTTTAACTTGCTGCACCACCAGGGAGGGGCCCTTTTTATAAAGATTTTAATGTTAATGCTGCATTTGTATCTCACAAAAATTAATTTAAATTTCTAAATAGTTTGATAGCTGGTTCACACAAAATACTAAGGGTCATCTGGACTGAGATATATGTCAAGTTCAATGCTTAAAAATCTACTGGACTTTAGAATCAGTCTAATGTCTCCTAAGAGTTGTAGCAGTCTGTTAACTGTACAGCACTTAACAATATTCAGTGTAAATCTTCATCCACTATGGAAAACCTGTGAGGTTGTGCTTGTGATGTTGACTGCTGCATTTACAGGTTCTATTTCTAGTTGGAAATAGAATTTCAGGAAGCCTAATCTGCAATGCAAACACATCTGACCATTTCAGGTAACTTTGATCCCTCTGATACCTATTAAATATTCAATCACCGGTATCATTTAATACATTGCATTTCCCACATTCTGCTGTAGTCAGCCTGTATTCAACAAATATTTACTCAGCCCCTAACTCCATATCCAACAGGTGGGAAAATCATAAAATTTTATTTTTTAAAATTACATGTTTGAGGTGATGTTTACAACACTGTACATGTTTTATGGGTACAGATTCACTCTCTTCAAATGTTGGAGGCCACATCATACCTACAACCAAAACACCCATAATCTTCCATTGGGTTCCTCCTCACCCAACTTCTCACCAATAATAAAATTTTGAAACAAAGGTCAGAACATTTTTTCTGTTTATCTTTAAAGTATATTATAACTGTACATTTAAGCCTATGTATATCTGTTTGTAAGTATGTTTTGCATATACACACATACATGTTTCTAAGTATATGCTATCCTTGATTTATCTTCAATGAGATATGCTTTAACAGCCTCTCCTCTTATATTGGCAAAGTTTGAATTGAACTATAAATATATTCCAGCACTATCTGTTGTCACCAATGGCTCTTACTTTTTTATAAGATGGTTGATAAGTACCCTCATAACGTGGATAATTGTGTAATAGAAGTGGTTTGATTTTAATCTCTGTACATGAGAAATTTAGGAAACTGAATTTGTTATTAACATCTGTTATATAATCACCTAGAACTGATTATCTTCTATTTTACCTTGTTTCTATTACTCTACTGCATAGTTTCTTAAATGATCTTATATTTCCCTACCTATTTTTTTATGATTGCCAGATAATAACCTACAAAGCATGTTAACTTTAAGTTAACGTATTTGGCTATTTCTAGATATCATTTTAGAATATCTTGAAGTTTCTTTGGTCAATTCAGTAATTCAAATTATAACAAAGTCATTTATTCATTTAATATGTATTGAATTGTCATTTTGTGTACCTTCTGTACTGACTTTGGGGACTATGAAATTGAATTAAGGTTTTGTTTGTAAGGAGCTTATAGTTGGTCAGAAGAGAGATGTGCTAGTTGAAATTATTGTTTTTGAAGAGCAGACTGGTTGACCTTTGCATAAGATTATTGGATAATTCATAGAATCACACTAAAGGAAAAAGTGGAGCTCCAGGCTTGGGGAGGAATCTCAGAAAGACTATGTTTAATGCCTTAGCATAGCATCTTCACTGCTTTTTATTCTCCATAGAACTACTAGAATCTTAGCTCCCTCCTGATTGAAAAGATCTGTTCCTTCAAGGAGTAGTTACTTATTTTTACCTTCTACTTATTTTTCCAATTGTATGGAGATAACTGACATTGTATCATTTTAGGGGTGGCACAGGATGATTTGATATATGTATATATTGAGCAACAGAACTACAACAGAGCTTTATTTACTTCTATCACTTCACATACAAAATGTTTTCCTGATGATGAAAATTTTGAAGATCTGCTCTTAGCAACTTTCAAATATAGGATACAGTATCAATAGCTTTAGTCGCTATGTTATATATGGTATTCCCAGGACTTAGTTTTCTTATAGCTGCAAGTTTGTGCTTTTTGACACACTCATCCATTTTGTTCTCCCTTTCTATTCCTCTCTAGCAACTGCCTGTTCTCTATATATGGTAGTGTCAGCTATGAGCCAGGCTATATTCTTGGCACTAGGCATAATGACAATGCACAAAGCAGTTAAAATGTCTGTTCACTAGAAACTAACATTCTATGTATGGTAGGAACCAAAACATGAGATGAAAACAAATGAAGCATAAAATGTATTAATAGACTTGAATGTTGGAGTTGCCATTAACTGGAATGGGGGAAGTCCATTCTTTTTGGGGAGAAGAAATTTGGGTACTTATTGAATTGATATATTTATTATTCATCAAATGGAAAAGTTAAGAAAGTTTGGTAAATACTCATACTTGCTATCCGGAGGAAGAAGTCTGGAATGGAGATAATAAACCTGATGGTGATAAACATAAAGATGGTACTGATAGCTATGGAATGAATTGAGATAAAGGTATGACTATAGATAGAAAATAGCCTAAAGTGATAGGGTACAAGACAGATGTAGCCTGTGAAATTGGGGACATTCAAGGTAGTATGTGGTCTTTGAAGCCAAGTAAAGGATATTGGGATGAGGAATATTTTGCTGTCATTGAATCTACTGGTCAACACAATAGATAAGGTAAAGTAGTGGAATTAGGTATTTGAAGTAGGTTAATAGCATGAGTTATTACAAGGGCCAGAGAATATAGACTACTATTTCACCCATTTGTCAAATAGCACCTGCCTTCTTCTAGATATTGCAGTAAACACTTGGGATCATTGAACAAAGAAAAGATCCCTGTCCTCAATCTTAACTCCAGTGCTGATCCTTACGCTTTAATCGTCTCAATTTTCTTTTGAGGAGTTTTACAACGTTCATTAAATTAAAAAAAAAATGAAATTGAGTCATTTAAATTATTCAGTATAAAATTAACCCTGATAAATAGAATAATTAACCTACTTACAATGGGAAAATTATCTATATAATTGGAAGTCTAAAACATAGCAGTTGAAAATGTAGAACCAATTCCAACTTCATGGCTATCTTGTGGAATTAGTAAATCCAAGACAAAAGTAAACTATAGCAAATTCTGGATTACCAGATTACTAATTCTCTGTGGTTTAGAGAGGTGAGGCTTTTTTACAAATTGTAAGTTTTCATTGAAAGGACATTTAAACCTTGCAATAACCAACTGTAAAAGCAACACAAATTAGCAACAAAAAGGGAAGACCATATAGAAGAAAATGACATCGAGCCTGGATGACATTAGCAATTAGAATAATACTCCTACCGGTTTAAGCCTTTTAATAAACTGTGTATATTAGCTTGCCTTTATCTAATAATGTATGAGCATATGTGTGTTTATCTACATCTATAGCTATATGTGTGAATATTTTTTTTTTTTCATCAGAACACCTAGGATATTCTGTCCCTGGACTCGAAGTGTACCAGGCATCCAACCACTGATTTATTTATTTATTTTTCTTCCTTAGAACCATTGTAAAAGTCATTGTGAAATATCTTCTTCACTTCCTTGTGAAATCTCATTTTATTTAGTAGAAATTGTTTTTGGTGAAATTATGGTAAAAATATTTTAGATTAAATAAGTCAACCAAATGATTTGAATGTCTCTCATTTTGACTTTCTTCTCTGACTATAAACAGTAAAAGTGACTTATTGTGGCTAATATAGTTATTAGATATTTTAATTTCATTACTGTTGGTTCATACTGCCTATATTGCAGTTTAAATCTCCCAAACTTTGCAGAAGAATATAGAAATGTTTCACATTTTGATGGTCTATACTATTTTTTCAGAAGGCGAAATGGAATATCACAATTAAATACACCTGGCCATTTGATAAACTTAGAATTCTATTATTTGCTTTTTCTCCACCGGTTAACCATTAATAATTTTGCTTTTGAAGCTATCTTTTCTCAATTTGGTATTTTCTTTCTTCTTTTAAAAGAATGTTTCTCCATTGAGTAGAAAAGTAATTCCTAATTAACCAACATCTTTCATAAATAAATTTGTTTTCAAAGGGGGAAAATAGAATTTTAAAAATACATGACTATTGAAATAATGGATTATTGCCAGTGGCCATACTGTAAAGTAGCTGCAGATTTAATTTACTTGGGCTGTGGGCATGCTGTGCTGGTGCCGTGGCAACATACCTTTAAAGGTCTATCAGCCTGTCCCCCAACACTACCTCAATAAAAATAATTTAATAATAAAATCTACGTTAGAAATATATGTGTTAATATCTTGAGTTTCACTGTACCTTTAATAGCACATTGACCATTATCACAAATACTTTGTTTTCTGATTTATCTTTTGGATATGCCTAAAACTGATTTAAGGTTTATCTTCCAATCAACCAGAACAAAGGCACTTCATCTTATTACTTGGGGAGTGTTATTTTATAAAATTACCAAGAGACTAGAAATAAGCCATACATATTAATGAAAGCTGTTCTGCATCTGAATCTGTTGGGTCCTGCTATGCTCGCAATTCTTTACAATAGTTTCAGCATATTTTAATTCATCCAGCCCCCCCCCCTTTCCAACATTACCCCCATTCTCTCCTTTATTCCAGATGCTGCTCCTATGTAGGTCGACGAGGAAATGGGCCTCAGGCAATCTCTATTGGCAAGAACTGTGATAAGTTTGGAATTGTTGTTCATGAATTAGGCCATGTGATAGGCTTTTGGCATGAACACACACGACCAGATCGAGATAATCACGTAACCATCATAAGAGAAAACATCCAGCCAGGTGAGCTTCAGAATTTGTTGGCTGGTAGAGTAGCTTTTCATTGTTTATATGTTTATCATCTAACTTCTTAAAATGTCAATTGATTTTTTATATGGTAGAATCAACATTTTGTTGATTAAAAAATACCAGGACTGTGTAATATCTTAAATTTTCTTTTGTACAGACTAAATGTTTTACACTGTTTTTAGGTTTGCATTTTTTCCCAAGACTTAGCTGTATTGTTTTTAAACTTTTGAACCTTCCAAGAATGGGTGTAGCCTATTGACTCATAAATTAATGTTGTGAAGTGTTTTCTTTTAAGAGTATTTTCTATACTTAGCTTTATAATTTATGTTGTCGGGATTTAGAACGAGTCCTAGGTTTGCTGCAAAACATGCTGCTACCGTAGGAATCTATATAATACCAGGGATAATTTCTGGAGAAAATTCCAGTGAAGTGAGTCATTTTCAGGATGGTTTAAATTGTTTCTTTAAATTTCCCCTTAAATTTGACTACCCTAAAGAAAATTCTTAAGAATGTTTTAGTAATTGAAATATAGTATTTCATTAAAATTTCATCTTTGTGACAATTGATTTATATGATAAGTGCCACAGTTTAAAGCTTTTTAAATTTGTTTGTCTTTCATAAATTCATGCAATATACTTGAATTGCCAAAGTAGAACCCCTACTTGGAATTGTTTTAAAAGTAGTATGTGTATTTTAAGCATAAGCAAAGTAAAATCACATCCTTATTTGCTTATTCATGTCCAGTTTGGGTTTAAAACACTGAATTCTTGTAATTAGCAGCATTGTATCTATTTATTTGCTTGTCACCAGTTAGCCATTAAAACACTATTAGATGCTGTCATGAAAAACATGAATCTTAGTCTGGGGTATGTGCACATAAACAGATATTTATAAGCTAAGTGGAGAGTAAAATCAGCCACATGTTGAGAATACTGTAGTCAAGCATGTGTGATAAAATGTGCCTTGGCAAGTCAAGGGAGAACTGAAATTTCTAGATGCACAGAAGATTGGTGGAATTTCGAAGCTGAAAAAAAATCATGGTCAAACTTACAATTACAGAAAACTGAATCATTTTTATTTGCCCATTATGGCAACTTGGGAAATTACAAAGGAGATTAGTTGGGAATTACTTAGGGAGATAATATCACAGGGTTTTTGCTATATGAAACCAGGAAATTTAGATCTTATCCTGTAACTACTGGGGAATACTTGAAGAATTGAAAACAAAGTTTAGATTTATTTTTTGAATAAGAATTTATTTAACTGTAGGAACCATTACCTGAAAAAGGACAAATAGAGGTGGAAGGATGAACATGAAATCAGGGAAACCTACCCCAAACTGAAGTAGTTAGGAGACAAACAGCGGATCAGGTCAAGAGAAAATAAGGAATAACCTTTCAAGAATACTGTACAAGGCACATCATCATGCAAGGGGCAAAATTAAAGTTTTATTTGTAGATAACAGGATAAATGCTGGTACTATCAAATGAAACAAGAAATATGGATAAAGCAGCACAGTTTTGAAAGGGCAAAAGACAAATAGTTTCATTGAGCATATCTTTAAGAAAACTTTGGATGGTCCAAGTGAATATGTTTAACTGACAAAGGAAAGATGACCCATGTCTTAAGGGTATATCTAAAGGTAGAAATTTGATAGTAGAGTTGAATGTATAGCAAAAAACTGGAGGGTGAAGATAATATGATTAAAAATAGGAAAAGGGAAACAGCAGTATTTAGGCAACATTCTGTAGAAAATCCTCTAAACAAAGGAGTTTTAGTTTGAAGTAGGAGAAAACTAAGTGGAATTCTGTGTCTCAGAGGAAAGGTCATTTCAAGAATGGAGTAATCTGTAGTGTTGAGTATCTAAGAGCAGTAAAGAAAACATGAACAGGTTTTCTCCACTGTCCAAAAATAGTGTTATAGGAAATTATTTTTTAGGTCAAATGGTATAAAATGAAGAAATAATTAACACTAATTTCTATAGAAATAGTTTTGAGCATTCTCAGACCTCTAAAATGGCCCTCCCCCTCTGGGTGATTTTAAATAACACATAAAAATGAAAATGACACTAACCTGTATTAAAGTGGAAATGAGATGTACATACCTGTATAAAGTAGTTCTGGGGAAGGAGCTTAGTGATGCTATTCTTGCTGGTGGGGTGCTGTTTCTTCTAGAATAGCTGCTGCCAAACCAACCTTGAATGCTCTTTTTGATTTTCATTTATCGTGAAGGCAGAAATCCTCTTTGCTCTTCTTTCAGTTAGCAAAACAGGTGTTAATGTCCGTCTTGGGTAAATGTGAAATGGCAGTAATGCAAACTTTGAAAAAGCAAGAGATACCTGCATTCCTAATATAGAAGACTCACAGCTATAAAGGTTTATTTTATACTTTATATGACTTGAAGATAAGTGAAAATGAAATATTTTTGAACTACCTTAATAATAATGTGCTTTCAACTTCAGTTATTTAGTTTCCTCTCTATGTCAAATATTTTACTATATGGACCAAAAAAAAAAAAAAAAGAACATAAAGAAAATAACTTTCAAGAATGATTCTTACACTTAAAAATAGGACTCTCGGGCCCTCCCTGGTGGCGCAGCGGGTTAAAGCACTGCACTGAGTATCTAAAGCCGCTTCCGGATGAGTTCAATTCCCGCCTGCCCCGGAGGTGACCACATGGTGTGGCAGACCTCTCCTGACCCGCCCGCTGCTCCCCTCAGCAGTGTACTTCGTCGATCTGCCTGTTCTGTTCCCCACTCTGTCTCTGGTGAAGCCCCCAGTTCTGTATGTACACATAAATAAATCTTTAAAAAAAAAAAATAGGACTCTCGTTCAACAGAAATATGTATCTAAAATGGCAGAAGATAAGTGCATATGTGTGTATAATTCTTAATATAGTGCTAAGAAAGTTACGGTTATTCATGTTTTTCTTGGAATCACTTGCAACAGGACAAGTCTTGTATGAAAGAGTTCCTTTTGGAGATTAATCTTCAACAAATTTATGACTTTCCTAGCTCAGAAATGGAAGATCAACTGTTATTTACTGGCAAAGTCTAATTAGTACAGACTTCAGCTTTGCATTTTTATGAAAACTCTATAAAAGGAACTAGATTGATATAAAAATTATATTATTCTAATCCATTTTAGTATATGTCTTTAAGGAACAGGCTAATTATTTTTTCATTGTCAGGGTGAGTTCCCTTAGTTTTCTATCTCTGTTTCTCTTTTCTTCCATGAAACAAGTGTAATTTTATTTATTTGGATTACATGTGGCCATGTTCTTTTTAACTAACATACACACACACGTTATGATCTTAGTTCTGTGCATCAACATGTATTACAGAAGTTGTTCACTGTCTCACTTTCAGAAACTTTAATGGAGTGTTTTGCTTTCCTTAGAGAATTTTGTTCCCATATTGTGTAATAAATTGAAATATTTAATGGATTATATATATATATATAAAGATATATATCTGTATCTCTATATATTTTGAAAATCAGTGCCATAGGTTTTTTAAAAATTTTACCATAGAGTTGTATATGTAAAAAATATACTAACATTCGTTTATGAACAGGGCTTTATTTTTTAACAGAAGATTTTATCAGAGGTTGAAGTTAAAAAAGGATGTTTTCTGAGGATGGTTTAGTGTTATAGACACACCATGTATACGTATATATATATTTTAATTTGTATATTTATGCATGTAAGAACTGGGGTACAGGACAGAGGTACAGGGGGTGAGAGAATGCACCAGAGTGGGGAGCACAGTAGGCAGATGTAATGAAATACACTGCTGAGGGGAGCAGCTAGCGGGTCAGGAGAGGTCTGCCATGCCATGTGGGTCAGCTCCCTGGCTGGAAATTGAACTTGCATTACACTTGCTGCAGACAGCTTCATAATGTTGTGCTTGAACCCATTATGTCACCAAGGAGGGCCTTAGAACTACATTTTTTTATAAAAAGCTAATATCAGTTTTCCGACAGTTTAAAAAAAAGGTATTTGTATGCAGCATTTTTTTAAACAAAAAGATGAGCAAGAAGATAAGTAAAAACAGCTTTTTAGATTTTTCTGAATCATTTAAATTTATTATATAATATATAATGCAGAGAAAACTTCAGCTGATATGTAGTTTCCATTAACTAAAGTCTTGTGGGTCTCTCATTCATTTTAAGAAATGGAACTTTACGAAATAGTATTTGCATTTTTTTCATTTGAGTCTTCTTATCAGTTAGAAGTAAATACTATCTTAAAATTTGTGTCAAGCACTCTCCACTTTTCCATATTTTTTTTACACACACGTGGGCATTCCTAAATGGATGTTGTTTAGTTTTCCTTTTTTGACCTCTGTATAAATGCAATCAATCACACAGCATATATAAACATACATGCATAGATGTGTGTTTATTTATTAGGACTTGTTTCTGTTATTAGTTTTTGAGATTGAGCTATGTTGACACATGCCGGTGGAGTTCATTCTTTCCACTCCGCTACTTTGCTATATTATTGACTGACATTTTGATTGTTTGCAGTTCTTTTCCATTGTATACAGGACTGCTGTGAATTTGCTTGTATCTGCATCTTGGTGCACTGTGCAAAGGTATATAAGTAGTATGCATCTTCCACATTGCTAATGAGATAAATAAAATATTTTCACTTATCAGGAGGAAAATTCCAACACATTTATATTTTTGGCGACTAGTGAGGGTTTTTCCTTCTGACCAGTTGGATATGAAATAGTTTCTTTCCGTGGTTTTAATTTGGCTTCTCTGTGAACAACTTTTCAAATATTAATTGGTCAATTTATGCTTACTATTTTGATATTTTTGCTGATTTTTATGTTAGGGTTGATAGTAACACTGCTCTCAAGTTTTTGGTCTGTATTTTTATCTTTTGCTTTCATTGTGTGAATTCATCAAAAGACACAATGAAACTCTTAATCTGGGATTTAAGACTGTATTACTCAGGTTTGTTTTCTCATCTTTAATGGTCAAGACCATCCCAGACTTCCTTGGAAGAGAGATACACTCAGTGGCATCACTCAGTTTATTAACTTTTGGAAATATTTTAATTAATATGATATTTTATACTTAGTAGTACTACTGCAATTGGAATAAAGTCTAATTTTTTTAGCAATTTAATTTTGAATCTAACCTTGAATTTGGAATTCTAGTTCACTTTACATTTTGATGGTCAGAGCTTTTTAAATGAGTCATAAAATTATGAAAATGGAGTAACAGCGACCTAAACTCTACAAGAAACTTCTCTGTTCTGGAACGTTTGCTGTAGATCTGCATATGTAACTGTTTGTTATTTTCAACAATGTAAGAGGAGAATCTTTAAAAAATTCTCAAGAAATGTTATTACAATACAGATACAAACCAACAGGCAGTTGAAAATCCTATTAAAATGAAGACATCCAGATGTGAAAATTACATTGTGAAAAGTTTTTTAAAAAAAGAGTTCTGAAGCCTATTCTGGATCAAAAAAGCCCCAAGTAGAAATTCCTTTCCATCAAAGAAAATCTTGTTTCAGTTTTGAGTGAAATTCTGTGCTGTTGGTTTGTATTTGGTGACACAGTACATAAAGTGCATAAAGCCATTATGACAAAGTACATAAAGACTGCTGGGTTTATATACATCCAAATGTTTTGTATTTTTCCAAATGTTTCAGAGAAAAGCTCTAAAGCAAATAGGAAGATAATTTTTGTCAGCCTTGGCAAATGTACTTAGAGAGGTGTAAAACTTGGAAATATGTAACTTTTTATTTTATTCTCACAGTACTGCAAAAGTAACATGATTTTAAAGAGACTGTATGAGAAGGGAAAAGCGTATAAAGAAAAAGAAAGCCCAAATCTGTTCTTGGTAACCCACTTCTTGGACAGAAATTCCCTTGCTAGTAGAATTCAAGGTCATGGTTTGCATACAACAGGAAGTTAACAGGTAGCCAAGGGGCACTTTTGTGAGCCTATAAATTCAAGCAACAGGGCAATCTGACATTTAGTAAAACAAAACAAAACAGATGCAGACCTGGAATGGATTCTTCTGTACTCTTCACTGTCTGTTAAAAGTCCTCTAAAATGTTTGTGCCTGATCCTTAGGGCAAGAATACAATTTTCTGAAGATGGAGCCTGGAGAAGTGAACTCACTTGGAGAAAGATATGACTTTGACAGCATCATGCACTATGCCAGGAACACCTTCTCAAGGTTGGAGTTTCAGGTTATACCTTTTGACTTTTAATACCTTTTCTCTGTGTGACTTTTCACAAAATTATGTTGATTATTAGAACTAGAACTACTTTTTAGTTATTACTGCAGGAAGTGAAAAAAATACTTGATGGGTATTTCTAGCCAACATCCTCTTACATTTTTCCTATTAAATATACTGGTTCAAAGTAAAACTTTGTAATGATTATTTAATTAAATATCCTGAGAGCATAAAAAATGGAAATAATTATCAAAACAAACCATATATTCAATTGGCAGAGCATTATTTTATGAAGATTAGGCTTTACAATGTGAAATAGGATCCTTGGTTGTTGACCTGAAATGTACTTTCCTTTTGTAACTTGCGTTTGCTACTCTGTATTATGCTTAAGTACTATTTGCTGTACTTACTAATTCTGGGAGATAAAGTCAGGGAGGCAGTTTACTTCATCTAACTTAGATTTTCACCATTTATTAACCTGAGACATAGTCATTAATAACTAAATGCTGTTTTTAAAATTGCTGTGATGCCATCCAACACGCAGTTCCCAGGTAAAGAATTTGGAACTGTTAAATCGTTGTGATCATCTTTCCCTTCCTTCCCCAGTTTATACCCATTTTTTAACACTTACTGCTTATTCTAGCTCATTCTTTTGCCTACATGTCTGTTTCACAATTCATTAGAACCTGTTTTGAAAGAAAAGGCAGGAACAAGATAAACATTTCAAATTAATTGCCCTGTTCTTTAAGAAAAGGTGGTAAAAAGAACTGAAGTATCTGTAAAAAAATATTAATACTGTGTTGCATTTTTAAATCATTCTTTTCTAAAAGACCAAACTTCATTATTAAAAATTGAACTGTGTTCTAATAACTGTTTTTGTTTTAACTTCATAGATCTATATTTATTTGATGTAACAATCTGATTACTTACTGCTTCTGGGGTTGAATTTAAGTTTCAATAAAAATATACACATTTGGCCTAAAATTAATTTTAGAGATTTACAGAATTTTATTTCTGTCAGTGTATGGATTTGACTTTTCCCTAGAAACATGTAGAAACGGAGATGTGGGTTCAGTTCAGCCAAATGCCTCTCATATGCCGTTGAATTATATTTTATATAAACAGAATTTTGATTCTTTGGAACAGAGAAGGTACTGGAAAGTGGAAAAAAATTTGTTCTTCTCTCCTTGATAAATGATGAATTTAAACGAAAGTTTAGAAGATATATTCCCCTTTGTATTCCTTTTTTGTATTTCAGTTGCGAGAGCCTCTTTTCACAAGCCCATGACTGATGCACCCACAGTCCCTCTCCCCCACACCCACTGTGGAGCTAGCTGATTGCCAACTAACTATGACATTTTACTTTTTTGATTGGTTCCATTTTCATGTTTTCCCTAATAAACTTATAGCCCTACAGTGGACATCGCCATATTCTCGTGAGAAGAATCCATCCAATTCAAATTATCTTATTGCTTATAAGTTCATGCGTGCATATATTTAAATAACTTAGCAGTTTTAGGAGATGAGCTATTTGGCATGATTCAGCAACACAAATTCCCAAATTCTACAGTAATGAAGTTTTTAAAATTGTGTTAGCAATACACCTTACAACATCCTATCTTTACCATTTGTAAGTATGCAGTTCTGTAGTATGACGTGCTCTCATGTTATAATGAAACAGATTTCTTGGACTTTTTAGTCTTGCAAAACTGAAACCCTAGATCTATTAGACAACGCCCCATTTTCTTCTCCCTGCATCCCCTGATAATCACCATTCTATTTTCTGTTTCTATGAATTTTACTTAGAAAATTCATTAAATAGAATCATATACAGTATTTATTTTTTTGCAACTGGTTTATTTCAATTAGCCTAATGTCCTCAAGTTTCATCCCTGTTGTAGCATGTGATAAGATTTCCTTCTTTTTTATAGTTAAATAATATGCTATTTTTTAAGTCTACTCATTTATCAATGGACAATTTTCTTCTATGTTTTAGCTATTATCAAAATAGTGCTATTTGATTTTTTTATTGTTAAGTTATAAGATTTCTTTATATATTCTGAGTAAGCATATATATGTATACATATATATAAGTATAAATATACATATATATAATTTGGAAATACTTTTACCCCTTTTATGTTGCCTTTTCACTTTGTTTTCTTTCCTGCCAAGAATCTTTTCAGTTTGACATATTCCTATTTAACCTATTTTTGCCTTTTGTGCATGTGTTTTTAGTTTTATGTCTAAGAAATCATTGTCAGATCCAATGTTATGCAGATTTTTCTCTGTTTTCTTCTATAGAAGAGTTTTGTAATTTTGTGTCTTATGTTTATGTCTTTAATCCACCTGAGATTCATTTACTTGTAAATGAAAAGAACTGGGGTACAAATCAGAGGTGCAGGGATAGTGAGAGGATTCACCAGAGACAGAGTGGGAAGCAGAACAGGCAGACCAATGAAGAACACTGCTGAGGGGATCAGTGGGTGAGACAGGAGAGGTCTGCCTCGCCATGTGGGTCACCACTGGGGCTGGGGATTGAACTTGTGCTGAAGCAACTGCAGCTTGCTTACAGTGCTGAGCTTTAGCCCCCTGCGCCACCAGAGAGGGGTCAGAGATTCATTTTTATGTATGACTTAAGAGCCTCAGGTACCATTATACACTTCATTCTTTTCTCAATATCATTTGTTGAAAAAAATTATTTGCCCAAATAGTTGTCTACACTCTTTTGATCATGGTAATTTGTTATATGTTCTAGCGTCTATAGAAGTTTTGGTTGTTTTCATGAATGTAGCCCAGGCAGCTTGTGGGAATGATAGAGCAGGAGATGCAGGGTTCTCGTATACAATTTGTACTTAGATGATTTAAACTGGGCTTTTCCTTTATTCAGTGATACAAGGAATGTGAAGTTTTATGAAATTTCTTAAAAAGCATAGCTAATTCATTCTTTTAATGCAAGTAGAACAAAAGATTACCTAGTAAACCTCTCAATGCCTATGCATAGTGAGACTATTCAGAAAGAGCTTGCTGCATGGGTCTGAAGGGAGAGAATTGTTAACTTCCTGGGCACAAAGAAAGAACAAAGGAATGGGTGACTGTCTCCCTTTGGAATAAAAGGCAGTTTAACTTAAAAGAATGAAATAAAATGAACATTTTGTTGTCTGAGTTTGAGTATATCCATTTTAAGATATTACTAATCTTTTAAAAGGGAATATTTTTTTGAAAATTGGCAAGAATGAGACTTAAAAAGATTGCAAGTTTTTTAAGAAATGGAAATAAAAAAACAGTGAATAATTCATTAGTAATGAAGTGCTATGAGAATTGTAACATTTCATTAATTTGAACTTAGTCCCTGTAGTATATCTGATAATTCATGAGACCATAACAATGACTTTTCTCAGTGCTACTCTGTAGCTCAAGTTCCCTTCAGTTGTATTGACCCAACTGGAGTTGTGTCCTATTATGGATTTGCAAACTTTTACTTTTGATGGTAATTTCCCATAAGTTATTAGTTTCTCTCTCCCTCCCTTCATCTTAAGTAGTACACATATGAAGTTCTCAGGATACTAAGTTCTCCATCTGAAAGTAAAAACACTTTAAGGGGCCTCCCACCTCTGGGTGCTTATATGTCTTGTTCTTTATCTCTTTGAACTCTACTCCCAGATACAACATTGCAGCAAACTTTACTTCCTTTATATTTAGCTAAAATTTATGCTTTCAAGTGAAGGTTCCCCCTACCACTAGAAAAACTTTAGATCTTCTCTTTATTTTTCTCCGTAGTGCCCATCATAATCTGTTATTAATCTCTTGCTCAATGTCTTTCTCCCACACAAACCCCCCCTCCCATTGGAATGTGAGAATCATGAGAGGCAATATTTTTGTCTTTTTTAACTGCTGGGAATATAGACATATATTAGTGCTTAGTAAATATTTCCTAGAGGAAGGAATGGAACTAAAATTTTATTCATTTAAACTGAAGATTATATATAATTTATTCATTTATAAATTTTGGAAAGTAGTGTCCCAGTATTCATTCCCATTTAAAAGACTTCCTAATAATTGCATTTCTTAAAAAAAATACTTTTATTTTTTAAAAAGATTTATTTATTTTTGCATACAAGAAGGGGGTACAGACTAGAGGTGCAGGGGTGGTGAGAGGATTCACCAAAGGCAGAGTGGGGAGTAGAACAGGCAGACTGACTGAAATACACTGCTGAAGGGAGCAGTGGGTGAGACAGGAGAGGTCTGTTGCCATGTGGGTCAACTACCTGCCTGCGGGTTAAACTCCTGATGCAGTGGCTGCCAATAGCTTCACAGTGCGGTGACTTACCCCCTTATACCGTCAGGGAGGCCCAATAAAATCTTCATATATACATAATCATTCCTTCTCAATACTTGGACTAGTCTCCCAGTTCACTTAATTTAATATACATACTTCCTTTACAGCAACAAATGATGTGTCTTGCAGATTTGACTGTCATTGGTACATTATATTCAGAATTATTAGCCATGCATATTAGAATATAGTTTCTATCAGAATTCTGGTTGAAAAAAAAATTCAAAATCTGTGGCTTAGCATTAGGGCATTGCTCAGATTTTTGCTTACTAACTTTGCTATGAAAATTTTACAATGTATCTGTGTATGCATATATCACAAACTATTTTGTTTCTAAAATTTGATGATTTTCTTTGTATTATAATATACTTCTAAGAATATTTATAATTAATAGCTTAACTTAAATTAAGCTTAGAATAAGTAGCTTATAATTAATAGCTTAACTTAAGCTTAGAATAAGTAGGTTATTTTTAAAAATAACACCTTTAATTTGGATTTAATGATTTAAAGCCCTCACAAATATCTATCGTGGGTTGCTCTTAGCAAAAACAGATCTTGATGAGGAAGAATCATTTTAGAAACTGCTAATCCAAAGAGTTATTTGATCTACTTGAGAGATTAAAACAGAGACCATGGTGTACTTGGTGGGCAACTACATTGAATTCTAGAATTTTAAAAGTATTTACTAAGGAAAAAGTGAATACCATTATTAACTTTATGCTAGGCACATACTTATACCATCATTTTTCCTATTTGATTAAAGTGTTTGAAAATTTGACATACTATTCAAAGTTCAATATGAATGTAGCATGCCTTTGATTTAGCTGAGTTTGAGAAAAATTACCTTGTATCTGTAAGGAATAGATGAGTCTTCACCTGATGACTTATGTGTGGCTTGCTTCTGATTTCTTTCAGGGGGATGTTTTTGGATACTATTCTCCCCTCTCGTGATGATAATGGCATACGTCCAGCAATTGGTCAGCGAACCCGTTTAAGCAAAGGAGATATTGCACAGGCAAGAAAGCTGTATAGATGTCCAGGTATTGCACCATGCAGACACAGAAGCATGATTATGCCTGTTGGGTTCTCCCAGATGAATAAACCACACTGACTCAATTGCTTACTTGTCTCTGTTTATGCAGGCGAATGAGTAGTCAGTTCAAAGTAATCCTAAAATCAGTAATCATAAAATGGCACAGGAGAGAACTTTGGAACACCCATTGATATAATTAAAAACAAACTGCTAGAAATCAAATTTCAAGCACATGATAGTATGTTTTATTGCTTTTAATATATGAGTGGAGCAAAGCATGGTTGGTTGATAGTTATTATTAAAGAGTTGTATGATTTCATAGGTAAATGCTGAACTTCCTTGCCAACAAAAATGGATTACCTTTTATTTCAGCTTCATTACTGACTACTAAATGATCATTTCTTGCAAGTGCCATCATTAATGGTATGAATTACAATTTTATTAACTGGAATTCATAACTTTATTGCAAAAATTAGTTTTAGCCTTGCTGCTAATGAGCTACTGTGTGTTTTACTACTGCATATGATTGTTAAAAGATTAACAGAAAGCCTTAATTGGAAGGTTCCAAAGCAGTAGTAGTGTTTATTGACCTAAGGAGGAAAAAGTATGTTCCAAATTGGAAATGCTAGTTATTCTAAGCACTTCATGTATGGTCAAAATGCTTTGAAATAACCTGTGTCAAAAAAGATGTTTACTTAACACAACTTTCCCCCAATTTTTTTTTTCTTTTTGTGAATGGAAACCCTCCTTTATCTATTATGAATCTTTAGAGTTCAATTTTGGAAATATTCTAGGCACTAAGGTTACAAGTGGTAAAAACAGCTTTCATTGATATGATCATATTTTTGCAGAAAAGCAGGGCTATCTTAGATACATCTATCATTAAATTTTTACTTTTTTAATTGAGACATGGCTGGATTATATCATTACTTGTATAGATTTTTCATGTTTAAACTGCATTGTAGAATTAAGCTCTACTGATAAGGTAGGCTCACCAGTAAAATGAATAGTGTTGAAGAATCAAGACTACACATGACTAAGATGGCTGATTTGAGAATCCCCTATGAGGAGAGTAGGAGTTTATAAAGTAAGATTTGGTTTTGTCTGGGTTTTTATAAAAAAAAAAATATGGTTTCAAAACTACACATCACTTTGGAGTTCTTTCTGGTTTTGTTAGAGCCAGTAAGAGTAGTAAACTACTTGTTACTCTTTATGAGTTTATGCTCAAAGCATAATAAATTTGCATTTATAGAGCTACTCTGTAGAGTTTCATCTTGATCTAAACCTAGATAAATGAAATTGTGGCTTTTATGTTCAATAACAAGTGGGGCATTGAGGGCAAGAGGGTGGGTTTCTAACAGGCTGGTAAAGAACAGCTGCTAATTGCTCTTTTATTATTGCTCTCTAGCTTCAATAATTTAGAAAATGCACTTTTCTCTTTCATAAAGTAGATAATGTTAGAGATGTATGCAGTTTTAACTTTTTAATTCAAAGATTTCTTTATTTATGCATCCAGAACTGGGGTACAGACCAGAGGTGCAGGGGTGGTGAGAGGATTCACCAGAGACACAGTGGGGGGCAGAACAGGCAGGTTGACTGAAATACGCTGCTGAGAGGAGCAGTGGGCAAGACAGAAGAGGTCTACAGTGCCATGTGGGTCAGCTCCCTGGCCAGGAATCGAACTCGTGCTGCAGTGGCTGAGGCTAGGCTTATAATGCTGCGCTTTAACCTGTTGCGCCATAAAGGAGGGTGCTATTTTTAACTTTTAATAAAGTTCATATTTTTAATTCCCTGTAAATACTGTAAACTGTTATTTTCATGGAATTTTCTTGTTGGTAAATGACTTGCAATCCATTATTTTTATCATTTAAATGCCAAAAGTATAAATTAGGTTTTACTTATGTACAGTTAATACACACTAATCATGAAAAAGCTTTACACAGGAGCAAAGTTCTAATTTTAAAGTGATCGAATAAGGATAAGTTTCTTTTAGTTTAGTTTTTCATTACCATTTCCTGTTCTTAGAAACTGGCAAGAATTGTCTCCCTTTGCATGGTTTATACATAAGAATGAATAGATCCTGTATATGGTGCTCTATTTATGTAAGGCCTGGTACCTGTTCCAGGTGACAGAGGCCTCAAAATGAAAAGGAAAGGAAAGCAAGGGAGAGAAAGGGAGACAACCCTGGGATTGGCTGGTTACTGGACACTATTCTGTGCCCTTCAAGGGCTTCCAAGCCTTCCTACCCATGAGACAGCTTACGGGAGACCATAGCTGCTGTTGTTACAATCCTTTTCATCCTACATTCTGTCAGGTCGAGAATATTCCACATGGAGGTGGAGAATGAGTCATCTTTACAGCTTTTTGTCTTCCCTGGATAATTAGCAGTTTGGCCAGGAAGGGAATCCTCCCTTAGGTATAAGGCTGGCAGTATCTCTTCTCTTTATAAATGATTAATTTGTGCTCTTTCTCTTTCAGGGAACTTGTTTTTCTCGTGACTCTTATTTTCTAAATGCAATCTCCTTTCTTTTGCTCTAATGTTAGCTTTTCTTTCGCTTTTTATTTCTAAGCTGCGTGACTTCTTCCCGATACAGTAACTTTTCTTTTTTTTTTTTTTGTATTTTCTCTTATTTTCGTTGGTCTTTAGCGCTGTGACCTTTTTGCTTCTTTCTACTTAGTTCTTATGTCAGCTATCAACCTTAATGTTCTCTCAGCAAAATTTCCATAATATGTCTTGACATATTATAAATATGATAAAAATAAAAAATATTATAAAAATAATAAAAGTGGGAAAATAGAAAATAATTTGATACTTAAAATAAAAGGCCTATTGAGGAGAATCTTGCTTGTTATATAAAATGGTATATCCAAAATACTAACAAGGAGATTAAATCAATGGTACTTCAATAAAATTCTTTAAAAAATTAAAATGCATATAAAAGTGCCTATTCACATCAGACATAGAAAATCTATGTTCATGAATTTCAATTGCTCTCAATTCTAGAATCCATATAGTACTTGCATAGGCTGACTAAGTCTACAGACGGGCATTTGTGTGGGGGTTGTATGGCTGGATGCACAATTTCAGTGTGCATGAAATTTGATTAACTTTCCAGGGCTTTAAATATTTGTTTCATGAAATTTATCTTTAAGACCTATATAAGGTTTCTTTAGTTACCTAGAATACTAATTTCTTGGCTCCTGATGTAATACTTTTGATATTCTATGTAAAATATCCTCCCAAGATAGATTTGTGTGCATATAGAATATATGTGAGAATATGTGTATAAATATCTATGTTTATATAATATGTGTAAGTATACATATATATGCATATTTGCTAGGCCGTTTCCTACAGCATTGTCTGTCACCCCTCTTCAGCCTGTGGCACTACAGTGGGTGTGCTTGCCTTCTGCCCTTCTACCAGCAAGAACTCAGAACTGCCTTGTGGTTCAACCTTTATTCACCTTTAGGATCTACCTCCTATGTCATCACTAACTTAAAAGTTTTCTGTTCTCCCAAGACACCTGTGGTGGTAAAGGCTGTGTTTGATCTTCATCTTTATGTTTTACTTTTAAGGCTATCTATTCACTTGTCATTTCCTTCACTAAAGAATGAACATCTTTTTTTTTTTTAAAGCAATTTATTTATTTATTCATACAGAACTTAGGTACAAGCCAGAGGTGTGGGAGGTCAGAGGATTCACCAGAGACAGAGTGGGGAGCAGAGTGAGTCAGGAGAGGTCTGCCTTGCCATGTGGATCGCCACCGGGGCCAGGGATTGAACTCGCACTGAAGTGGCTGCAGCTGGTTTGCAGTGCTGTGCCTTAACCTGCTGTGTGACCAGGGAGGGCCCAGTCTGAGTGTCTTTAAGATTAGAGTAAGGATTTTGCCTCTGGTATTCTGACTCGGATGTCAATTAGTTGCTCAATGAGTAGGTGCTGTGTGAATGAGTTAGCCTAACGTGTTATGCTACAAATATTATTATCACAGAGAAGGAAGCAGACTGTACTATATATAATGAGAATATTTGGGGCTAATCAGTATCCATTAATGAGAAACTAATTTAGTCAGCAAAGTCAGTAAACCATTTTGAGAGGATGCTTAGCTGAGATGCTCACAGGGCAAACAAGATTTCTTGGTGTTGACATTTATACTTCAATTAAAAAAAGATTTATTTATTTATGCATACAGGACTGGGGTACAAGCCAGAGGTGCAGGGACAACGAGAGGCTTCATCAGACACAGAGTGGGCAGCAGAACAGGCAGATTGACGAAGTACACTGCTGAGGGGAGCAGCGGGCGGGTCAGGAAAGGTCTGCCACCCCATGTGGGTTACTTCTGGAATGGGATCAAACTCACCCTGAAGTGGCTTTAGCTTCTTTAGTGCTGTGCTTTAACCCACTGCACCACCAGGGAGGGCCCTGTGCTTCAATTTTTAAGGATGATTCAGACTTGGGAAGTTACTATGGGAGTATATTTTAAAATATTTCCATAATTAATCTCACCATTATCACTTAGATGGCTTAGCATTCCTTTAACATTTCTTTATCTTAAAATAATTATAGAACTATATTATTTTACAAAGTTGAATGGAACCATGGATATAGAAATAAAATTAGGGAGTACACTATTGATATCACTTCATTTGTTTCCATACTCTAGATTTAGTCAAGATTCTTTGGAAGAGATTTTATTGAATAAAAATTACTGTGTATACCGATCTATCTTTGTTTTATTTGGTCTTAGCAAATTTATACAAGTGTTCCTATAGATACATAGATGGAAAAGTCTCAACCTTTGATATGTAGTATGTGACAGAGACATTGACAGAAAAATATTGTGATGGAAATAAGTTTGCTATAAATTTAACGTTGTTAAAAGGACAACAGTTTGTAGTAACTGCCCAATAACACACAATTCAAGTGGGCTGAGGTAAACATGGGAGTGTAATATCTCTGTGAGATTTTGCATGTTATTTTGTAAATACCCAGAAGTGGGGTTGCTGGCTCATTTGGTATTATTTGAGGAACTTGCATACATATTTCATGATGACTGGACTATTCTTCAGTTCTACCAATAAAGCACAAGGGTGCCATGTCTTTATATATGTGCCAAAAACTCTTGTTCTTTTTTTTTTTTTAATTTATCTTTCAATGTTGGAGCTTATATTGAGGACATTTTTCATTGTGTATGACATTTTGATACTCTTTTATCAATTTATTGTGATGAGTTTGGTATATATTTTTTTCATTTTGACATGCTGGTCACTGTTGAGCTTGCTTCACTTGACCCAGATTATATTAATAGGTATTTTCAAGTGGCCCCAACCCCATATCGACTAAGTATACATCAAACAGGATGTTACGTGCAAGTTGATTAAGTCTTTTAGGAGATGAATAAGGAAGGTTTCCAGGAGGAAAAGCTTTATGTCTGTCAGTTTATTTATCTTATTTTATGGTTAACCCTTGTGATATTTTTAACTATACTGAAAGGTAAGAGACAAAATTAATTACTTGCAAGGCAAATGTTTTTTGTGAAATACAAGCATATGCTTTTGTCAAAAAAAAAAAACAAAACTCGCCTTTATGATGTTCACATCATTCATAAAAATGAGTAATAATGATCTTATCATTTCTAGCAAATATGGATGTCATTATTTTTGAAAATTCAAATATATGTGTCTTTTTTTACCCTTTCAGCATGTGGAGAAACACTACAAGAATCCAATGGCAATCTTTCCTCCCCAGGATTTCCAAATGGCTACCCTTCTTATACACACTGCATCTGGAGAGTTTCTGTGACCCCAGGAGAGAAGGTAGTTTATACTCAAGAGATCTGTTTTAGTCTTATAAGCACCAGTTCATCTTTTTTCAAATATAATTTGTTTTATTTGTATTCTTGTTTGATTCATCAAGTAAAAGACTAATAAGCTCAGGAAATTTATAATAAAATTGTAGTAAGTCAATTTTTTTTTTTAAAAAAGATGCAATTTTATGGCCCTCCCTGGTGGCTCAGCGGGTTAAAGCACAGCACTAAGAAGCTAAAGCCACTTCCGCATGAGTTCGATTCCCGCCTTCCCCGGAGGTGACCACATGGCGTGGCAGACCTCTCCTGACCCACCCGCTGCTCCCCTCAGCAGTGTACTTCGACAATCTGCCTGTTCTGCTCCCCACTCTGTCTCTGGTGAATCCTCTCACCGCCCCTGCCCCTCTGGCCTGTACCCCAGTTCTGTATGCACAAATAAATAAATCTTTAAAAAAAATGCAATTTTAAAAGCAATGAAAATTAGACTAAATATAATTGAAATAATACAAGCTGTGTTCTGAGATATAAAGTTAAAAGTCAGTAGCAAAAAGATCACTAGACACTGCTTGCACTTTTTGTTTCTTCATTTTTAATTTTGCATAGAAGAACTGGAGTGTAGGACAGAGGTGTCTAGATGAGAGAATTCACCAGATTCAGAGTGGGGAGCTGAACAGCCAGATTCACTTAAATAAACTGCTGAAGGGAACAGTGGGTGAGACAGGAGAGGTCTGCTGCACCATGTGGGTCAATTGCACACCAGGGGATCAGAATCAGGACATTGCAATGACCAATCCCAGTATTTGCACTGAGACATAAACCCTAGGCCACCATTTTAAAACTAAGAAATATGCATCTAAATATGTCTCAATATAACTTAATGTATAGAGGATCATGGATCTAGAACTGTCCAGGATGTTTCACAACTAACATCTATGAACTAGCTTGGAATATATCAATACATACTAATTATCTTTACAAACATTTCAAAGAATTATAAAGTCCATGTTACAGTGATCAAAACATAATAAGTCTTTAATAGGTAATAAAGGTTAAATATAAAAGATGATATGACTTCAATGTGAGGTTAAAGGTATATAAGGTTTTTTAAAAAAATTTATTTATTTGTGCATACAGAACTGGGGTATAAGCCAGAGGTGCAGGGGCGGTGAGAGGATTCACCAGAGACAGAGCGGGGAGCAGAACAGGCAGATTGACGAAATATACTGCTGAGGGGAGCAGAGGTCAGGAGAGGTCTGCCACGCCATGTGTGTCACCTCCGGGGAGGAGATCGAACTCATGCTGAAGTGGCATTATCTTCTTAATGCTGTGCTTTAACCTGCTGTGCCATCAGGAAGGGCCCTATACAAGTTTTTTTTTTTTTTTTAAAGAAACTATTGTAGACTATTCCAAAATATAGGTAGGAAGAAATCAACAAATCTATCATATTTTATATTATTTTTCTTAATATAATGCATGATAATGAGCAAATAAATTGGACTATTATAGTTGGTCAAGGAACTCATTTTACCTTCACTTAACTTTTGTTTTTCTAAAAATTGGGTTCATTCTGTTAGGTTCTTTTTAAACTTCTTTAGTTGGAAGTTTAACATTAATTTTAAACATCTTTTCCAATGTAAGTATTTAAAGATATACATTTCTTTCCAAAAATTACTTAATCTGGATTTTACCAACTTGGAAGACAGTATTTTTGTTATTCCAATTTTAATTATCTTTTTCATTGTTTGTTTCATCTCAGCCCAAATATTTTTTAGTAATATATATCTCTATAAATATATATCTCTCATAAACAACATATGGTTGTTTTTCCAACCTTCCTTTCTTAATTAATCTTTCGTCTAGTCACTTTTTGGTGAGAGACCGTTATCTGAATGATGTCAGTTTTTCAAATAGCTTGAGGTTATATGACCTTGGAAGTGACCAATATCCATATAAAATAATCTTTACTTTCAAATGTGTCTCGTGCAGTGAATGGTTCCAAGGTCTCTACATATGCATTCATCTTTTTAATAGTACTGTTAATTCTCTATATTACTGTTTTTCATCTTTTTCATATATGAAGTAGTTAGAAAAATATATTAATTTTGTCACTGTGTGGTAGATATATATTGTTTTTTATACTTTTGATGATTTAAAAATATGTCTATCACATATGTGCTTAGATTATTAACTTTTTCTGTACAACTACATTGCTATCACTATATAGTTATTTTAGCTCCATCATGTTCTAAAAAAGTTATACCTTTCTTTGATTAATGTTTTCACCTGATATATCTTTATATCTTATTTTAGACATTCAGTCATTCTGTGATCTTATGTCCCAGATATCGTAGATATCTGATACTTTGGTTTTATCTTTATTTAATCCATGGTGGCATATTTTATCTGTAACTAGAGTGTTTATTGCAGTTGGATTTATTGTGACTATAGGCAATATGTTTTGGTGTCATATCAAAGAAATCGGTGCCAGATTCAATATCATGAATGCTTTTCCTTATGTTGCCTTCTAGGAATTTTATACTTTTGGGTCTTTTATATAGATCTCTAATCCATTGTGGAATTAAGTTTTGTATATTACTGAAGATAAGGGTCTGATTTCATTATTTTGCACAAAGATGGTCTCTTTCCCCAATGTTCTTCGGTGAAGATTTACCAAAATATTTTTATCAATTTTTACTCTCATATTTCAGAATTCCATCTGCTCCATTTGTCTTGATATAATTTATACTTGTTTATATTTTTAAGTAGTATTTTTGGTGGCATTGCTTCTGTTTGAAAATGTTGGTCTTTTTAATTGAATTCATGATAGCTTAGTTTCACTGGATATACTTGGTAAGTGATCTGTTAAAAAACAAAACTTACAGAAATACTCTCACTTGATACATTTCAGATATTAGAAATTAAAATAATCAAGCTGATTCAGATTGAATGAACACTAAACACTTAATAAGTTAATCATATAAAATAAGGTGACAAAATTATTATATAGTGATACCATTTGCAGAGGATTGTTCATTGTGGTTTTTCAATGTGAAAAATCTTAGTTTCATCCCTTATAAAGAGAAATGAGTTTTGAGTGCTCTGTAAAACTATACACCCTCTTCATTTATTTCACGAAACTAGTAACATTCTAACACATACAAAAAAATTAATAGTGCATTACATCTAAATATAAACACATGGGTGTCATACAAATATAATAAAATGAAAATAAGATTTGTGATTTATAAAATATCAAGTGTGCTATAATTGCAAGTAGTTCAAGGTTAGAAAATCTTTCAAATAACAGCTTCAGTTTTTAAAAAATGGTCTCAAAATTCCCATAACTACTAGTAAAACCAGAATTGTGTGTATGTGTGTGTGTTTCAAAGATAATCTGGAAAATTAATACTAGAATTTGTCCAATCCAATAAAATAGCAAAAAATTATATTTATTGGGTACTTACATTACAATAGTTGATTTGTGACAATTTTGTTATCTACTCATACCCCATCTGGTATTATGTTTATCTCTATTTATCACATGAAGAATTTCAAGTTAAAAAAGAGCTGTATAACCTATTGATAACCATACACTTAACAAAGCTGATGATAAAATTTTTCTTTGGTTATAGAGATTGTTTTCTTAAAAATTCAAAAGAATCAACTAAAAAATAGAACTAAAGGTGATCAAATAAAAACAAATAATTTAAATATAATAGATCATAGAACACTGAAGACTTTACTTTGGGATAAAACAATTGTAGTATCCGTATCATGTAGCTAGATCTAAAGATATATATCAGGTAACATAGATTTTAGATTGTCGACCTTTCCTATATTAAATATACAACTTTAATGTAATTCAAAGTAAATCTTCAGTAGACTTTTATCTTCTTCCTACACCAAAGTTTTCTACAATTTATTTATAAAATAAAAATGTTGGAATAACTAAATTTGAAAAGAATTGATGAAATAGAATGGATTGCATTGTAGAACAGTAGAAAAATGTTATGAAGCTAGGTAATTAAAATCTTGTGCTAATGTCAAAATAGGCTCCTTAAATTCTGGAACAAATTAAAAAGGCCAGAACATGCCTGGGGGGATAGACAATGTTTATCATTTACTCATTTACACAAATTGGGAAAAGATTTTTTTTCAGTACATAAAATTAAATGATTTTTTGTGAAAAAAATGAACATTTATCTCATTGCATTTTTCTAAAGAAAACATAAGTAATTTGCTTTTTGTCTATAAAATATGTCAATATTAGTTGAAAATAAAATATTAGAAATAGGCCTTCCCTGGTGGCACAGCAGGTTAAAGCAGGGCACTAAGAAGCTAAG